GAACGGATGGTATCAATGGCTGCAGACCAACTGCCGGGCCATCAATAACACCCCAGAAAGGGGATGCCAAGAATAGGCCTTAAGAGCGGGCACAATGTGGCCGGTTCATCATTAATGAATAAAACTAAGGGAAGCTCCTGGCTGGCAGGTCAGTGAATGAAAAGATGCTTAAAAGGAGGCGCCGGAATCAGCGCTGCGGTAAAGCCTGGGCATCACCCGGGACCACCGGCTGGGCAAATCTGGCTCAGCAGCCCTGGCCTCTCCAAAACAGGAGAGCTGGCAATCCAGGGAGGTTCTTCGGGGGCCCAACCCCTTCTTTAAGCCTTTAAAGCCGGGTGTATCAGTGAGGGAACAGTGCCGGGTCATGAACTCTCCTGCCCCTTGACCTCTTCAAAATCTGCCCCCCCTCCAGGGACGCTGCCGTGAAGGCCACCGAGGGGCGAAGGCGCCGAGCTCAGCCGGGACCCTTCAGCAAGGCCCCCCAGGCCCGAACCCCGCCCCAGCCCTCGCCCGCCCCGCGCCTTTGCTGGGGAAGAGCCGCCCCGTCCCGTCCCAGGCAGCGCGCAGGAGAACCGCCTTGGTCGCCGAGCTTCCCTGCCCTCCGCCACGCTGCGCCGGCGCCGAGGAAAGCGGCCGAGGCCGGGCCGGCCGGGTGGCGGAAGGACGGCGGGTGGCTCTGCGGGCGCCGCCGGCAGCCGGCCCGGCCCGGGAGGCGCTCCGCTCCGCTTACGCAACGGAGCCCGCGGCGGCCGCCGACTCCCTTCGCGCCAGTCCCGGGAGCCGGTCCGGCCGGGGCTCCGGCGCCCACGTCCCTGGCGGGGCGGGGGGCGGGCGGGCCGCTCAGGTGGGCTTGTCCAGCGCCCGGACTCACCTCCTTCTTGGCGGTGCGCAGGAGGCGCTGCCGGGTCTCGGCCTCGGCGGGCAGCAGCAGCAGCGAGGCGGGCGCCAGCGCGCGCAGGGCGGACGAGCTCCCGGACGTCGTCCCCGGAGCCCGCCGCCCGGAGCCCGGCGCCGGGGCAGCCGGAGCCGCCGCCATCCTGCTCCTCCGTCCGTCTGTCCGCCCGCTGCCCTGGCTGGCTGCTCGGCTGACCGGCCGCGGGGACGCAGCTGGGAGGCCGGGCGAGGCGAGGCGAGGCAACGCCCCGCCGCCTCCGCCGCTACGCGCACCGGGCTCGGCAGGAGGAGGAGGAGGAGGCCGGCCGGCCGGAGCCCCTCCCTCTTCTTCGTCGCCCGCCCCGCCCCCTGGCCTTGCCCCCTGCGTCCCCGGGACTCGGAGGGCGGCTGGCAGCGTCTCCGCCTGGGTGCCCATGGGGGGGGGCTCCACCTCCTTCCCTCTTCACAACGGCCCTGCGAGGCTGGTTAGGTGAGAGGAAAGCGCCAAGATTGGGTATCGCTATGCCATCCCGGCCCCACACTGGGACACTAAGCCGCGGTTCGTTTAATTGTGGTTTGTGGAATGAACTGGGTCAGTTGCTCAGAGGACCGGAAAGGCCCAAATGTTCATTACAAGATAAATCTGGCCTTGCCTCCCAAGACTGGAGGGGAAGGGGCTCCCAGGCAGGTCTTCTTTTGCTGCAGTGACTGGGCCAAGCAGCTGCCCTCCCACTCGCTCCTCTCCCTGATTCCAGGCAGGTGGAAGGGCCCCAGAGTGAAGGCCAAACTTGACTCTCCAGGTATCTGCAACACCTGAGGACACAGCCGAGCAACACTGGTCTCCTGGGTCAGAACAGGCCAGGCATCTTCCCCCCCCCCCAGAGGGCTTTCTTGCCCTTTGCCCTTCTCAGCTTGAGTTGCCCACCCCTCCACTCACTCCTCCCAGGCAAATGCACATCAACTTGGCCACACCTGTCAAACCCATCACTTTGCGTGAAGGAAGCCATCCGGGCTGGCTGGACTGAAAGGGAGCTTAGCTGACCCCGGCCTGGGCCCAGGCTGACCAGGGCAGAGCGGTCCATGGGCCGCCGGGGGCTTCATGCTCAGTGGAATTACGCTCAGCCTAGCAGGGGGAAAGAGGACCTCATCCCCCTCTGCCTGACCCTCTGACTGACACATTCAGAAATGGGAGCTGTCGAAGCTGAAGGGAGATGTGAACATCCGGTTGACAGGTGGCAGAGGAGAAGGGGAGGCAGCTGCCCAGGCGTGAAAAGGTGCTGTGTGCACGGTAGCAGAGAGCCTTGGGCAACTAAGGAATTGACCCACCTCTCAGTGGGGCCCCTTCTTCCTCTGCCAGTCTGACGGCCAGAGAGTGAGGCCTCCGTGAGCAGAGTGAGGGGAAGCCAGTGCCTTGGCCTCCCCTTGGCCGTCAGTCTCCAGATGCTTTTCCCTGGCTTCCGAATCCCCAGCAGGGCATGGGGAGGGTCCCCGACTGGAAAGGCAGCTGCCCCTCTAGATGCCCTTGCATGGATGTCAGGGACAACTCATCTAACCCAGGCACCGAGGCCTGCCTGACAAGGTTGTTGTGCAGGAGAAAAGTCAGCACATGTGAAAGAGCAAATCATCCAGGCCTCCATGGGTGGAATGGCTTCCCTCCAGGAGTTGTGGGTGCTCCATCACTGGAGGCTTTCAAGGAGAGACTGGACGGCCATGTCCAAATGGTACAGGGTCTTCCACTTGAGCAGACAGTTGGACGAGACCTCCAAGGTCTCTCCCAATTCTGTTATTCTGAGAAGGGAGAAAGTCAACTCTCCTCTCATGTTCCCCTTCTGGCAATTCCTTCATCCCTGCTCGGCCAGGACGGGACCCTGTTCTGGGATGCAGAAGATGCCCAGTTCTGCCCCTGGCAGGGGCTGACCAGGGTCTCCTGGCTCCCACTTCAGAACTATGTCTGGGACCGAGAAAGGTGGAGAAGCACAGCAGCCCTTCTGCTTGGAGGGGCTCAGGCTGTGGGGCTGAAATGGAACTCCCAAGTTGAGCAGGCCCCACAGCTGCCCCAGACCCCTATCCTCACCCAGAAGGAGGAAAGGTCACCCACCTATTTTTCCTTGCAAACCCCAGACAGAGGCTGTGCAGCTGTGGGTGTGGGCAGACTCACGCCCCCCACCCACCTTGTGCCTCTCTTGCTCCAGGCACCGTCAGGCACGGGTGGGGAGGGGGGCTCCTCCTCTGTCTCCTCCCCCCCTCCCGCCCTTCTCCCTTTGAAGTGAGCAACCCTTCCTAGTGCCTGCTGCACTGACCCTCCTCCTGGGTGTGCCTGCCCTCCGCCAACTTCTTTAGCCCAGACCCTGCTGGGGTGTTGGGGAAGATGTCCGCTTCTCCCACCGCCTGCCTTGCCAGGCCGGCTGGCTCCGAGACCCCCCGGGCCATCTCTCTGCTTGACCAGAGGGTCCCCCGGGACACCTGGAGCAAAAAGGTGGATTTCCTTCTGTCCGTGGTAGGATTTGCCGTCGATCTGGGCAACGTCTGGCGCTTTCCCTACATCTGCTACCAGAACGGAGGGGGTAAGGAGGCGGGTTGTGAGTGGGCATGGATTTGGGGCAGAGGTGAACTTTCCACCCAAGCAAGGAGCCCCTTATAGTTCTGGGGGAGGATCCCTCTGCTTCCGTTCCTTCCTAGAGATCACCTTCCTCTCCCCCAGTGCAATTTGGAAGACTGGACTTTAGAATGGGGAAGAAAGACCCAGGAAAACAGGGGGTCCCATTGAAATCCTAAACATAAAAGTGTCCGTGTGGCTTTGCTGGAGAAGTTTGCCATTGTAAGAAGGTTCTTCCATTTTCCTGGAGAGTTTCTTGGGTCCAAAATCTCTGTGCAGACTCAGATAACATTTCAATCTCAGGATAATGGTACAAATAGCTGCCATTAAGGCTTTCTCTCTTTTGGGGACGGGGAACTGTCCATGGTATTTATTTTCAGCCTCGCTGAAATGCATGGCACACAGACACACACAAATGTGGGTAGCCAATACGGTTTCTCTTTGGCCCCATTGTAAAAATATTATAAAATCTGAAACATGGCACTGCTTTAATGCAGAACAGCCAAAACATGGTAAAATTGCAAACCATTTTTACCATTACTTGTGGCATTATGGACTTAATTTGTAACACCAGACTTTAGCGATCTGCAAGTTACTGCTTTCTTTTTTCCTCCAATTTTTTCTTACATTTCTGCCTTATTTACCAGCAATTAGGGATGTTTGTGAAGTAAAATATATACAAATGATCACTATAGGGGACTATAAATAAATCAATAAACAAAAGACAATCAAGGGAGAAACGAATGACACTGATTGAATCTCTGTCTCCAAATTGTTAAATGTTTCCTTTAGATAAATAAAAAAAAATCTGGAAAAGCATAAAAGAAGTGACCAAATGCCTTTCTTAAATGGGTGAGGGGGGGAAAAGTCTGAATTGCAATTTCCAGTTCTCCTCTGGGACTTGCTCTGGGTGCCATTTGGAGCCCATTTTATTCCAGGCAGAGAATAATACCGCATGGCAAGACAGGTGTGTTGTACAGGCAGCCTGGAGATCTGTGTATTTTCAAATGTTTTCCCAGGACACGGGTGGCTATTCACCTAATGGCTGTGTGTCTGTGCTTTTCAGCTTGTCTTATTAATTTAGCTTGCACCAGTTGCCTGTTTTATCTTGGACACGTTGGCTGTGCTGTAACAATATATGCCCTGATTGTGCATGTTTCTAGATCACATGAATGCAGAGAAATCAGGGGATAGTTTGGATCTCTTCAACTGTGGGCAAGCAGCTGCTGGAGGGTTTTAAGAAAAGGGGAGGGGGTTGAGAGGAACTGGTGGGGAGCAAACCATGCCCCCCTTGCCACTCCGTTAAAACATACCGGAGGGATTTGTTATGCACATCACCGGGAGAAGGCAGCTTCATGAAGCCTCTTAATGTGATGATTAATTGAAGCTGGCTTTCACCAAGAGAAATGGGGGGGGGGGGGAGCCTCCTGGGGAACACTTTTTGAGAGAGAGAGAGAGAGAGAGAGAGAGAGAGAGAGAGAGAGGAGGGAGAGCAGCTGAGGACTGTGAACCCTTATCCTCCGTATCCCTTTGCTGTCCCAGGAGCCTTCCTCATCCCCTACATGCTGATGGCCGTCTTCGGAGGGGTGCCCCTTTTCTACATGGAGCTGGCTCTGGGGCAATTCCATCGGGTCGGAGCCATACCCATCTGGAAGAACATCTGTCCCATCTTTAAAGGTAACTAGCCAGCCAAACAAACAGCAGAAGTTCTCCCAAAGGGGAGAAGGGGGATGGCCGCCTGTCTAAAAGTGTAGGATCCCTCAAGGGAGGCCAGGGCTTCAAGCCTCCCTCTTAGGTGAGAGGCCGTTTAAATGCTTTTCTGGGACAGGGTAGGGAAGAGATGCAGCCTCTGGGCTTCAGCTTCCACCAGGCACCTGGGGAATGAGGGTCTGGAGCCGCCTCTGCCTGCCCGTCTTCTCCTCCTGCAGGCATTGGCTTCGCCATCTGCGTTATCAACCTGTATGTGGCCTTCTACTACAACACCATCATTGCTTGGGCCCTCTTCTACTTCTGCTCCTCCTTTGCCCGCACCCTGCCCTGGGCCAGCTGCAGCAACCCCTGGAACACCCCCAGCTGCCTCAGTTACTTCGAGGCTGGCAACGTGTCCTGGACCAACCTCTCCAAGTCCCCCGCTGAGGAGTTTTACATGTAAGTGGGGGTGGGGCTCAGAAGCCCTGATGGGGGCCAATTGTCTTTGGGAGCAGAGCCAGGGCTGGTTCATTAGATGGCACTGCTGGCACGGCATGAGCCAAGACAGAGGGCATGCGGCCTCGGAGTCTCGGCATCTGGATGGAATTATCCACATGGGCAAATTCTGCTGGCATTCCTCCTGGGAACCTCGGCCAGCAATGGCGCGTCCTTCCCTCTCTGACCGAGAGCTTCTCTTTGCCACAGGAGGCACGTCCTGCAGGTGCAGAATTCACACGGACTGTCTGATGTGGGCGAGATCCGTTGGCAGCTGCTGCTCTGCCTCTTCCTGATCTTCACCACTGTCTACTTCAGCCTCTGGAAAGGGGTCAAGACCTCAGGGAAGGTACAGGCTGCGTGGGGGTCTCCGCCTCTCTCCTGCAGCAAGGAGCCCCATTGCAGTATCTGTGGGGCCCTGATGCCTCCTCCTCCAGGGGACCCTGAGGGCCAGACCCCATGCCCACACCCCTCCTTTGGCCACAGAAGTGGGCATGGGGCACCAGCCCTTCAGGTGTTTTGCAGGAAGAAGGGCAGAAGGGGAAGCAATGCCTGTCCTGGGATGGGGGGAGGGAGGAGCTCGGCCAAAATGCTGCAGCCCCTCACAGCCTGGTTCTCCCTCCAGGTGGTTTGGGTGACAGCCACCCTGCCCTACATCGTCCTGCTCATCCTGCTGATCCGTGGGGCAACCCTCCCGGGGGCCTGGAAGGGGATTGTCTTCTACCTACAACCGGACTGGCAGAAGCTGAGGAGTATGCCCGTACGTTTCTGCACGTAGCTTTTTGTAATTGCCAAGTTCTTCCTCCCAGGCTGAAATTCAACAGGAGCTGTGCTAGAGAAGGTAGCAAAAGGACCCGGGATCTGGAGGCAGAGAGGGGGCTCGCTCTTTCCCCTATGTTTCCATCCACAAAAGGTTTCCATCCAGCCATCGTGCAGGACAGAAACACCGAGCACCCCAAATTTCAGGGCAAACAGAGTTGTGGCTTTTCCCAGCAGGAGATCATGGAAAAAAATCACTTCTGTTGCGTTGGGAAGCTGACCCAGAGCAGTGGGGACCCCCTGTGACTTTGGCTGGCCCGGCAGTGGCCCTTCTCCAATTCCAGCACAATCCTGACTTTTCTATGGGGATCAGAAGCCAAGCCTTCATTCTCCCTTCAATACTGCTGAGATCTACTTGATCCCAGATTCCCTGCCCTTCATGAGCTTTCACTGTTTTAGGTGCCACCCCGCAGAGAGGAAAGAGCTGGCTGGGGCCCTCTGTGTAAAGGGCTGCTCTTTTAACGGGCCACTTGCTTGGGCTCTGTCCCGTGACTCCCCCTCTCCACTCTTCCCTCTCCTGCAGATCCACAAGAAAGAGGCCCCCATCTGGCAACTCCCCTCCCCACAGAGAAGATCAGAAGGCCAGTTGGGGAGGGGGAGCGTTCTTTCCCTTGCTTTTCTTTGGCTCCCTTAGAAATGCAAATCAGGAATTGAATCACACATGTCATTTGCTGTCTGGGGGGAATTGATTCGGGTGCCCTGCTTTCCTACCAAATTGACAATGGACTTCCTGCCCATAATTACCTCTCCTAATGCATTGATGAATTTTCATGAAGGCGAAGGGGGGGAGGCGGGCAGAACCTGCAAGGGGCTCCCTTGCCGCCCTTCTTCGGCCTAGCACACCAAGGGCAGCACCTGCCTTGCAGGAATCCATGCCAGCAGGAATACGGCCTTCGGCCAAGAGTGACCGTATGGCTCCTCAGCTGTCACCACTGTGCCTTCCTCTGCTCAGGTGTGGGTGGACGCAGCTGCCCAGGTCTTCTTCTCTCTGGGGCCGGGATTCGGAGTCCTCCTTGCCTTGGCCAGTTACAACCCGTTCAACAACAACTGTTACCGGTGAGGGTTCGAGGCCGATCAGCTTCCATTTCTCCTCTTAATTGCCCTGTTGGGTGGCTGCACATCTGGATGCCTGATGCTGGTTGAGGGTCAGCCTAACCAGGCTTTCCAGTGTGCCAAGGCACCGCTTCGCCCCTGTGCCAGGTAGGAGCCCCCCGTTGCTGGGTTGGAAGCAAAGGGCCTTGTGCGGCTGCCAAAGAGAGCAGCGAGCGGATCCCAAGGGGAGCAACCGAGTGGATCCTGGCTATCAGCCTGCTGCCTTTTTTCTCTCGGAGGCTGGCACAATATTCTTCTTCTGGCACATCTGTCGGGTTCATGGCTCTGTCGCTCCTTTCCAGAGATGCCATCGTGACCAGCCTGGTCAACTGCTTCACCAGTTTCCTCTCGGGATTTGTCATTTTCACTGTCCTGGGCTATATGGCCGAAATGCGGCACATGGACGTTGCAGACGTAGCAAAGGACAAAGGTGTGTGGTCACCTCTTGTGGGCTTCAGCCTTTTCCCCCTACGGGGCCACAGGAGACTACAACAGCTTCCTCCACTGGGGAGGACCAAGAGGTGCTGGAGTCCCTGGGCTGAGCAGGCAGCACTTCCCCCCCCCCCTCACACACACACAGTGAGCCCCCTTTCCCTAATGCTGTTGCTCTAAGAGGCTTGCCAGAGATTAACTAAACCAGACTTCACTGAATTAACTCTGGGTTCAAGGAACAGGGCACCCTCGACTGCAAGGGTGCTGGCTCCCTGCTTTGGAGAAAGCCAACCATGTAACTCCATCATGTTACTGCCAGAGGTTCTGCTTGGCCCCCACCTACCCAAGAGTTACTTTGGGGGTGATGGAAGGCCACGGAGAGCTCTCGAGTGCCATGCTCTGGCTTAGCCTCCCTCTGGCCCATCGGCCACGTGCAGAATTAAGGCTGCTTCTGGTGCCATCCCAAGGGTCTCTTCCAGGGCCCAGCCTCCTCTTCATTACTTACCCGGAAGCCCTTGCCAACATGACCGGATCTTCCTTCTTCGCCATCCTCTTCTTCCTCATGATGGTCACGCTGGGATTGGACAGCACGGTAAGGCCAGTTTCATTTTGCATTGGGAGGACGGGAGACCCTCTCGGCTGCTGCCCTGCAAGTGGGTCAGGCTCCACGTTACGTGCTGTGTGAAAGCTGCTTCCTTATATACCTTACTTTGGTCTTAAAAAAGAAGACACAGGTGGAAATATTTCCAAGGCAGAGACTGTGGGAAAAACCTCCCAATTTGTTTTCCAAGTGATCTGCTGTGAGAGTTTAAGCCTGTCCATAAGCTTTCCCAAGGGCAGAATTGCTCTGAAGTGGACGGAGCAGCCCCTCCCCAACAGCCTCCAGGGCTCAGCCTCTGCCTCAGACTGGGTTCTCCTGGGGGGCGTTTGCAGTTCGGGGGCCTGGAAGCCGTGATCACTGCCCTGATGGACGAGTATCCCCAAGTGCTGGGCGAGCACCGTCAGCTGTTCGTGCTGGGACTCATCACCCTCTGCTTCCTGGGCTCCCTGGCCACGCTGACCAATGTGAGTTATGGCGACAGCGGGCATTCCTTGACCCCTTGATCTCAGGGCCAGGCAGCACCTCTCTGGCTAATGCAGAAGAAAGGCCAGCTGGGATATTGGAGGCAGGCAGAGGATGGCTAACAACTCTTTACTTGTCTATATTTGCAAGGAAGAGACCGTCTTGTTGAATATTTGCCCCACAAGGTAGAGAGTTTATTTTGCTCCTGTGATGGGGGGAGGACCAAAGCAAGCTGGAAGCCCCCAAGTGAGCTAATTGTGGGACTTCTTCCTACTGGAACCCACCCCAAAAGGCCACCCCCTGCAGTGTGGTATCATCCACCTTCAAGGGCTGCTCCCAACCCAGCTCTTCTGGGGGCTTGCAGCCTATCAGAGCCTCCCCCCCTCCCAGGTTCACAGCAGGCTCTTTCTTGGTGTTCCAATCCAGGGAGGCCCCTACATTGTGAAACTCCTGGAAGAGTTTGGGGCTGGTTGCTCCATCTTAGCTGTGGTGTTCCTGGAAGCCATTGCCGTCTCCTGGTTCTACGGTGAGGAAGAAAGAGGCTTTGTGGCCCCTTGGTGGGGGGGGAGCGGAGGGGAAGAGAGCCTCTGTAAGACTTTCGTTGCCGCCTTCTGAGGCCAGCTTGATGCAGCTTGGTAGAGTGACCGTCCCTTTATGGGTCTCCTTCAGGGAATTTCCCCCCATCATCTCTGAAAATCTTCCTGCGCCCTTCTGACTTTGGAATCAGTATCCCCTTTTGCTCTGAGTATTTCTCCCCCGGACCGTCCAGGGAGAGGGCCCAGCTCCTCAAAGGTCCCTCAGGTAGACTGAAACGTTTGGGCTTTGAGTGGTGAACGGCTTGGACTTCCTTCCTAGGAATGCAGCAGTTCTGCAGCGACGTGAAGGCCATGCTGGGCTTTGGGCCAGGGCTGTACTGGCAAGTGTGCTGGAGAGTGGTCAGTCCGGCCACCTTAGCGGTGCGTAACAGATCCTTCCCCCATCACTGTTTCTTATGTCACCGATTGAGGTTGAAATGGACACAACGGGGGCATTCGCTATCCCCCCCAAAGCTTTTGAGTGAACATCCCCAAAAATGGGGGATACTGCCGAGGAAGATGGGGATGAGTGGGGGAGCAGGAGGAAAGGAAGGCCTGCTTATGGATAAGCCATAAATTAGAAAGAAAAACGTGACCCTAAAGGAGTATTCTGTTAAGAAGGTCTGCTGAGCTTGCCCTGCCAGGCTCTAGAGATCTCCGATTCCTATCTTGCCCCTTTTCAACAACACCAGTGTTCAGAGGACCCATATTTGTGGGTCACAGCCCTCTTGGGGAGCCAACTGGGGCATTTCCAGGAGAAAGGGGTACAGATGCTCCAGCTCGTAAATGGAGACATTACATTTGCTGTGCTTGTCAAATGTATCCTTAGCCCTCTCCAGGGCAACAGCCCTTCGGTTACTGTCCGGTACAAGTGTCCCCTTGGGGTGGAAGGGAAGAATTTTATGGTGGGGCGGGGGGCTTTTAAAGCAGAGAAGATGGGGAGGGGGCAGTGGGGCGGCTGGGCATTCTGCTGGACCTGACTTCATCCTTTTCCTTGGTTCCTGCCCAGTTCATTCTCATCAGCTCCCTCCTGGACCAGCCCCCCCTCGTGCTCTTTGACTACGAGTATCCTGTGTGGAGCATCAGGCTGGGACACCTGATTGGGGTCTCCTCCTTCCTTTGCATTCCCATCTACATGGTCTACAAGCTGGTCTGGACCCCCGGATCTCTGAAGCAGGTCAGGGAAATGGGATCCTAACAACTTCATCCGGCAAGGGGGGGGATGTTTTCCCAGTCAATTCTCTAACACTCGCCCCCACCTCTCTCTCTCCTTGCCCCCTTCCAGCGCCTTGCCCTGTGTCTTCGGCCAGAGAAGATTGCCCGGGAGCTGACCCTCGAGATGGTGGACGTGCCAGCCCCCCTTTAATTCTTGGAGAGCTACCCCCAAAACACAGGCTGTTCTTTGCTGAGCACCCCAAAAGAACACCTGGTTCCAGGCAACCTCCAAGCACAGCTGTATGGGCTGACCCCTCCCAAGTCAACTCTCCAGCAGCCCCTTTTCCTGGAATTGCTGGCTCCCTCCCCCACCCCTCCTCCAGGTTTCTTCTGCACAGCAGGGCTTTTGATCCTGGGTGCGGAGGCTCCGAAGGCCTCAGCCTTCCGACTGTTGTGGGGAGGGGGACCAATTCGCTCGCGGCCTCTGCTCCGAAGGCGTTTCTGGCGGGGCTGCCTCTTTCCCAGAAGGGCTCCGAGACCAGCCAGCGAGCCGTCCCGACTCCTGCTTCTCTCCAGGCGCCCCAAAACGAGCGGCGAGGAAACCGTGTCTTTGCTGGGTTGGGTCACCCTGCTCGCTTCTCACCCCTCCCCCCGCCGTTTCCCCCACGGAAGCCCGGGATGAGCCCAATAAAAATGCCGTCCGCCTAATAATGCATCACGCTAAGGACTCACGAAGTCCTTCCCCCCCCAAGGCTGCGGCCACGAGGCTCGGCTGCACGGCGTCGGCCGGCGGCTTGTGGGGGGAGGGGGACCTCGTGGCAGCCCCGCCCATTCCGTGCGGGGGAGGGCGCTCTGCACATGTTCAGAGGCCCTTGGACCGGGATTGCGAGCGCCTCTCTTGGCCCTGCGCTGTCGCGAGGATGCCGCGGAGCCGCCGCGGATCCGCCTTGCTGGCGCTGCTGCTGCTGCTGCCGCTCGCGGTGGCGCTGGGCGAGGCCGGGGAAGCGGCGGCGAGCGGGCAGCAGCGTCCCTTCGCCGTCCTCCGGAGACAGAACCTGGGTAAGGAGGGCTGGGTGGGACGGCCGGTCCCGGGGTTGCCGGAGCTCCCCTCGCTCCTTCCCTGCCCGGCGGCTCTCCCCTCGCCCTGCTCCTCCGCGGCCTCGGCTGCCCGTGGGGGGTCTCGGGAGCTTCCCCGTTCGGGCCGCGCCTATTGCCGGCGCCTGCCCTGCCCGCTGACCCGGCCCCCTTTTCTCCCGGCAGCTCTGCTGGGCAGCGTCTTCGGCCTCCTGGTGCTCGCCGCCGTCCTGCTGGCCGTCTGCGTCTATCGGCCGCTTCGCCGCAGGTAGCTGGGAGTGCGACCGCCGCCTGCTCTGTCCGCCCCGACCCCGGCTTTCTCTCGACCTGACCTGCCGCTGCCGCGCTCCTCCCGGTGGGCTGGACGAGATGCCCCCCCCCGCCGCCGCCGATTTGGCCGGCTGAACCTCCTTAACCGAACTAAGGACTACCCCGCATGCAGGTCTTGGTCCCGCGCCGCCAGCTGCTCTTGGTCAGATGCACAATGGACCGCCGAGGGTTGCCGCTCGACCCTGATGGACGCCTGAGGCCGGGAAGAGCCCCGTTCTCGGCCAGAGCCCACAATCTGGACAGGGGAGCATTTTATGGGCTGCCACAGAAAGTCATCCTCTCTTCAGCTGTCCAATTGCCAAGCGCCCCCCCCCCCGCCCCTTTTCCCCGGAGCCTAATGGGGATCTCTCACTGGAGGGGGGTCTAGCAGGCAGAAGATGCACCGGGAAAGCAGCACCCAAAGGCACGCCCTCTAATTTGCCCTTGTGACTGCTGGCATTTCTTACGTGATTCTATGCTTCTTGTTTTCAAGCCATAAAGGGTTTTTCCTGATGTGTATCAGCTACTTTGGGGTAGGTAATAAAACAACGGTCAGTGTGATTTTGCTTAGCTGATCTCCATCTTATCTTGGGGCGATTCCTGTGGGAACCTGGCCATATCTCAGCCAGCAGGACCACCAAAACAATGTGCGAGTGCATAATTTTTGCTCTCGGGAACAAATTACGCCGTCCTAAAATTGCAGCTTGACCAAATCCGTTCCAATCTTCTTTGCAGTTTCCCTTTACTTAGAGAACTGCAGAGGCTCTTTGGAATCAGCCTCCTTTCAACACTTCCCAAAGAGAACTTCTTTAGCCTAAAGAGCGCCCCGCTCACCTCTTTTTCAGGCAAGGAACTCGGCCAGGACAGGAGTTGACCCCACTTTATTTAAAAACACAAACCCCCCAGATTTGCTAGGAGGGGCACGAGAGGGAGTGGCTTGGGAAGGCTACAGAGACACGAAGAAGCAGCCGGAGGAGTCCGAAGGAAAAGGCAAAGCACTCTGGTGTAGGCAGGCGGTGGGCGAGGCACGCGGGCCATAAGACACCTGGCGGCGGCTGAAATCTTTGGTAGGAGAGGAGCTGACTCCGAGGAAGCCCCTCCCTCGGCTCAGGTTGTTACCCACCGCCGCCCCCTATTTGAGGCTGGAGAGAGTCCGCCACCCCCTTCAGACAGGCTTTGGCAAAGGAAGCCGGGGTGTCCCCTTCGGCACAACTGCCGAGCGCAGAGGAAGATGGCAGATCTTTGGGCTCAAAGCTTTGGCGAGTGAGCGATAGAGCCCCCTCCCTCCCTGACGAAGAGGGCCTGGCCTGGCCTCCCCATCCAGTGCCCAGGCCGAGATCTGGCGCTTGCTTCCTGCAGGCGTCATCCCACTACTTTTCCAGCAGGGAGCGCTGGAGAGCCTCCTTCAGCTCCTCCTCCTCTTCCTCCTGCCTCCGCTGCTCCTGTTCTTGCTGCTCCTGAAGGGAGAGCGCCATGGCCAGCTGCAACTCCTGGTCGAAGGTGGAAGACCCTCGCAGGGGTGGGTTGTTCCCACCACTTGCCAGGAGGCTCTCCTGCAGGGCCCTGTGCGGGAGAGAGAAGCGCTTTCTGACCAGCGGGATAGGATGCCCCAGGGGTCTGCCAGAGCAGGGGGCTCCAAACCTGGCAACTTTTAAGACTTGGGGGAGGGTCTCCTGGCAGAGGATGAAAACGATGGACAGACCAGGCAGCTGCCAAGAGGCACTAACAGCAGGGGGAAGAGGGCAAGCTAGAGCCAGGAGGGCTTGTTCTGCCAGGAGACGGGCCTTGGCACCACTCCTGCCCACCAGTCTGCGGTGCCTTCGCTGGCCTAGGTGCACCCCTGGGGAACCGTGAGGAAGAACCCCAGGTTGCTGGCATCCTTCTCGGCCTTACCTTTGATAGTGGAGGTGGAGGTCCTGGGAGTAGGAGACGTCCCCATTCAAGGGTGGCCCCAAAGGCTCCTGGAAAGATACAGAGGTGACAGGGAGCTCCTCCTCTCACTCTCCCTGCAGCTTCAAATGCGGAGGGTGCTTTGATCCCCTGCGGGTCGCCTTCAGAGCAGCTAAGTACAATCCCTAAACGTGCCTGCGGTCTTTGCTTTGAATGTAAAGCCCAACGCGGGTGCCTCGGTCCAATGGCAAGACCAAAGGGCAGCCTGGTGGGCCACACCCTTGACCCCGCGGAGGACAGGGACCAAAACTCACCTGGTTGTGGCCAGACTCCATCAGGCTCTGCTGGATGGCAAACTGCATGATTTCATTGTCTTCGTCCTGCACATGCAAGTTCCGGCCATCGTCTTGGACCCGGTAGGATTTGGGGATCTCGAAGACAGAGGGGTCCACCACAAAGGGGGAGGCCGGAGCAGCTGGAGGGAGGAGGGGTCTGATCAGGACAACTGCCAACATGTTTGGGAATCCGAACAGGCTGTAGCTGTCATTGCCCTCCTTGCCCGAAAGCTACAGACCGCTCTCCCAGCCCAGCCCAGCCCCCAGAGCGACTCCCTCACCAGCGGTCCCCTGGGGGCCTTCGGGGCCCTGGGTTGAAGCCTCTTCCAGGGTGCTGCAGCTGTTTACGCATCCAAAGGTAATCCTAGCGTTCAGGATGTGGAACAAGGGGATTTCTGTGGGGAGGAGAAATGAAGAACTGAGGAGCGGGGCCCCCAGGCATCTTGGCCACCGTGTTGGCTTTGTGATGCGTTCCGGATCAGAAGCTCAGCAGAGCCAGAAGGCCATACCGATTTTAACCGGAAACCCAGGAGGGAAGTCCAAGGTGATGAAGTCCTTCAGTCGAGCAAAGTGGGCACTGGTCCTGGCCATCAGGTCCACAATGGGGGAGACCTGCTCCACAAGGGAGAGCGGGAACTCTTCGGACATCCACAGGTTGGCTTTAAATCTAGGCAAGGAAGGCAGGATGGTGGCATGGGTGGGGGCACAATCCTCGGGGCGCCTTTGTTCCCTTGGGACCTATTTCTAAGGGCCTCCCCCACCCCAAGCCAGAGATGGTGTGGGAGATTTTTGAAAGAGCTGCTCGCTTGCAAATATGGAAAGAGAAACAGGAGCCACCCCACCCCCCCTTTCAAGATGCTCCCAATTGATGAGCGGGTGATGCCTCTTCCTGGGGGAGCAAAGCAGGGGGGGGGGCTATGCAGGTTAGGGGGCAAACCACAAAGAGAACCAATGGTTTTACTTCTGAGTCCGAATAGTCACTTCTTTGGGCCTGCCAATATCTCTGTCCTTCAAGTCAAACTGGGGTTCGAAGTATTCCTCCGGCATGAGAGCTGTTGGGTTGTTGGTCGAGGCAAATTCTGTCGTCAGGTCCTGGGGAAAGGGCGACGTGAGTGTCCTCAGGGGCGGCTCCCTCCCCGGAAGGCCCAACCCGGCCTCTGGCTGAGAGCAATGGCAGGGCTCAGAGGGCAGATCCAGAAGGCTCACCTGCTGGGCTCCGTATTCGTGCTCAATGGTGCCCAAGAAGGACTCCAGGGGGTTTCGGTCAGCTAGGAGAAAGGGAGAGGGGCCGGTAAGCTCCAAGCTGCTCCCCTCCCCCCAAGACCCCCTCAGTTACTCTCAGCAAGGCAGCCACCTTTGTATCTTCTCTTCTCCTCCTCAGTCAAGTGCTCCGTCCGGATTCTGGTCACCACGTTCACGTTGTTGGCCGTGAAGACCTGGAGAAAGGAGCAAGAATTAGGGAAGCCGGACAGCCTGCTGGCAGTCCTCCCTGGAGGAGAGGAACAAAAGAAGACCGTGAGGTGAGCAGCCGGCCGGGGAAAGGAGACACCGGTGCATGACTCGAGGTGGCTTCTCACCTTGGCTTCATAGTCATTCACCACTTCGCTCCTCTCTGTTTTCCAGACCCAGAAGCCAGAGGTATCTCTGCAAGGCAAACATCCGTTTCCAGGCCTCTGAGCTTCTGGACAGAAACGACTCAATGCTCCCCAAGCTCCCTTATCCCTTGCAGGGAGAAAGGCGGGCACCTCTTGGGGGCTGGGGCTGGTCCCCCCCGCCAATCCAGGGTCACGGTACAGGAGAATAACAGGAGGCAGAGCAAGGGCTCCTGCCTCTCCTACCTTTCAAAGGCGATGTTCCTGGTGTCCAGGGAGGTGCTGAGGATGGGAGAGGTCAGCCGTCGCTCCACCTCCTTGTTCTTTGGGACCATGGAGTCCAGGGTCAGCCGCTTGATCTGCTGCGTGATCTCAAAGCGTTCGGCCGCCACCACTTTGTCATCGTGGTTAACCTCAATCAGCTCAGCCCAGTGCCCGGTATCTGGAAAGCCAAGTGGGAAGGGCTGGTAAAGGGGGTTAGGGTCCCTTCCCCCCTCCCCCCATGGAGCTCTGGCACTGCTCACCTTCCCCTCTGAAAATCAGGCTGCGCCTCCCTCGCTCCCAGCTCATGTTTTCAAAGCCCAGCAAGGTGATATCCACGCGCAGCTTTGCGCCACTCTTCCAGATGCGGCAGACGTCACTGGGGCACACTCGGGACACCAGCGGGACTGTGGGGAGATGCAGGGAGGGCAGAAGAGCTAAAAGATGCGCGTGGGTCACAGGAA